ACTTCGATTTTCCCTTTGATTAGAAGGCGAAACTAGCGTGCTAAGGCTATCGAGTAGCCACACTCGCTCGTTTCCCTTATCGGAAGAGGATTTTCAAGCAAATGAACCCTAACTAGCATGAGATGCAAGTCCTAAAGTGAAGGGGAAGGGAATCGGGGGCATGCAAAAAATGACAAAACTAAAAAGAATGCATGACATGTAATGAACATACAAACATGTACTAACGAGGGGAAATCCCTAAGGGTCTAGCGTTGGACTAGCCCATTCTATGAATTCCGACTAGCGTTGGACTAGTGAAAACGTACATTCGTCCATCACATTCATTCATGACCATGGAAAGCGAGTAGACATGCCAAACACTTATAAACACGTAGCACATAACATTTAGCATGCATATCTAGATGCCAAAACCTAAGAAGGCGATGAAACATATAGCACATAGACATGCCAGACACATAAGGCAACTAAGGCCCTAACTATCACATTTTTAGGGGAAGAAGGCCTATACAATCTAGGAGGGGGAACGGAATAAAAATAAAAATAATAACCTAGCTATTACAACTTGGCATTCAAGTGCCTTCAAATCACTTGCAAATTAAGAAAAATGAAATAAAAAGAAAGCGAAATAGGCAATTAAACATGAAATGAAAAGCGAATTAAAGCATGCATATTCACACATAACACATAGGAGCACGTAGAGTCAAAATCAAGTAAGAAATGAAGGATTAGGGTGTACCTCCCTTGAGTTGGGCCCAAATGGAATGGAACCACTTATTTACCCTCAAAAATAATAAAAGAGTCAAAGCATCACTTTAATCAAGAAATAATCACAAAAGATAAAAGTAAACATGAAATTGAATCAATCCAAGGCATTTAAAGGAAGGTGAACAGCCCATGTAAAATTTAAAACAAGTAGTGGCTTGATTGCAAAAACTAAAGAAATTTGAGGGGTCAATTTGATTGATTTTCCCAATTTTTTGGGTCATACTGGCATAAGGGGAAACTTGAGGGGGTTAAGAGGCAATTTTGAAACAATTTTTCCATGCAAATTCATGCAAGCTACGTGAGACTTAAACTACTGCAACTAAAATGCAACATGCTCTCTTTTGCTTCCAAGACAAAACCAAACGCACAGCTTATTGTTCAAGCTCGGATTTCAAACCCAAACACACAACTTTAATCTAGACCCAAACTTCATACTCACCACCATCCAATCAGGTAGAAAATTTAGAAATATTTCATGCCAAACTCTGGAAAATCATGCAAACATGTAAAGGGAAAAAAAAAAAACAAAACAAAACAAAAGGCTGCTGCAATCTCTTTGCGATTTCTACACCATTTCAGTCGAGATTTCATCATGCAAACGAGTTCACCAAACCCAGATTTTAACTATCAATTATCAACTAAATCAAACCCAAGATTTAAATGTACAAACAAAGTGATGAAACCGACTTGTAAGCTGTTGCCGAATGGAACATTAAACTAATGCAGCAAAAATGATGTGAGAAACGTTTCTGCAATTTTCTTATTCAGCCTTCAGCAACTAAACAAAGCCCAACACACAACTTGTTTTCCAGTTCAGATTTCAAACCCAAGCACAAGGCTTTAAACTAGGCAGCAAGCCATCATCCAAACAAATAGAAAAAAAAAACTGAGCAAAATCCAGTGCAAACAAAAATAAAATACGTTCAGCAAGTTGAAAAATCTGGAACATATAAAACTGATTTGGCAAATTGAAATGCATTTTCCAGCAAGTGCTTAGGCATGATTCAAATACTTTTTTGACCCAAAGACATGAACTCAACACTAAACTTTCCACTTCTTCCCTTCCACACAGAATTAAGCATGCAAGCTCAGAAAACAACCATGGAAAGAAACAGTAAGAAGAAAGATGCAGCAATTTTTATTTGCGTGCAAACACTCCAACAAGCTCTACCAATATGTCATTTACAGACCAAATGCAAGGAATTTGCCCTCCATTACCATCGAATGTCCCCAAACATGAAATTTCTTATAGACGCAAGCAAAGCCAATGAACAAAACAGGAGCAATGAAGCGCAGCTTTTCTTATTTCAGACAAGACTTCCGGATATCATCTTAACAGTAATCGCATGCATGACCCTCTTAAAATATTCTAGAGTGAAATCAACAAGTGTGGAATATTTTACAGCTTGTCAAACTTTAAATGGAACAATTTGGAATCCCAAAATTCCTAAAGAAAACTGGAAAAATCTTTTCTTCTTCACTCGGCTATACTGGAAAAATTCCAGCAGTTTCATTTAACTATTTCCAGTTCAATCTCCCAGCATATCAAGAGTTTCACATCTATATAGCTTACAAGACTTAAGACACACATATTTCAGGCATTTCTAAACATCATTTCCAAAGAAAATTTCCAAAAACAAGCTGCAATTCCAGCTTCACTCCCTCGGCACAACAGAAATTTTTCCAGCACTTAGTTGGTCATAATCCAGTTTTTTTTTCGGCCAAAGCCTTGTATTTGGCACTCAAATCCAGCATGCAACTCCTTAACTAATTAATTAACGTTTCTAGTTCAAAAATCAGATTCGGACAACAGCCACATTCATCCAAAATTCCAGAAATTTGTCCAGCTCTTCTCGGCTAATCTTGCATGCAACAGAATCCATTTCATTCTTATTTTTCTGGCTTAATCCGAGCTAACTAACCTCATGCAAGACTTAATCATTTAGTTTTTTAGTTAACTAATCACATTTATGAGCTTAGATTACTTCAGAGAAACAAGATTAAAGCGGCAGTTCCATTTCAGCTTCTCAGCAAACCCATTTCCTTCAAAATCAGATTTTTCCTCTTATTCAATTCATCATCCGAACGCCTAAACTTCACATGCATGGCCATAAACAATTTAATCTACCTCTGATCAAGTTATCTTAGCTCGGAAATTACCTTAAATTGAAGCTTATACACGCGACAAGAAAGCTGTCAACTTCTCCTCCTCTCGGCTCGCGCAAGGACTGCAGGTGTTGGTCCTGGTTGCGGATGGTTGCAGCTGTGGTTTTGATGGCTGGAACTCATGAAGGTGGTGATGATCAGCAGCTCCCGCAACTGCCTTTTGCTTTCTCTCTCTCTCTCTCCCTCTCTCTCTCTCTCTATCTCTCTCACTTAACTTGCTCGGACAGAACATAAAGGTTGCAGCTCGCGCGGCTTCCTTTGGTCGATACTCACGAGGAGCAGCTCTCACTCACTTGCTCTCGGACGCTACAATGAAGGTGAGGTGCAGCTGTGGTTTGATATGTGAAGTGGAATGAATGAAGTGGTGCCGTGGTTATGGAGATGTTTTTTTTATTTTATTTTTTTTTCACCTTAATTATTTAACAAAAATAATAGTAAAACTAAATAATAATAAAAACAACAATTTTAATTACAAACACATCGAAATAAACAAACTAAAAATAACAAAATTACCATTTTCGATCTTTTCTTTCATTTTTCATCATTTCTCATCATTTTTTTTTTCAAAATAAATTAACAAAAATAAACCAAAATGCCAAAAAATTAAATTTGAACGTATTTTTGTGAACAATTTTCCTTTTTTTCTCTTTTTCCATGATTTTTCTACGTTAAAACTTAAAAATTAAAATAGAAACTAGAAACTAAAAAAACTAAAAGCAACCACGACAAATGAGAATAAAAAGTAAAAGAAATTACACCAAAAATTTGGTGTCTACAGTAAAGGGGTATGATTGGTGGCCGGAGGTAAGAAAAATAAAAAGATCTACATGGACCTTAGGTAGTGAGAGTTGACGGAGGGTCAACTACGGTAAATTTTGATCAAGCGTGGAGAATGGCTCCTGAGAGCCCTGTATCCTATCTTGTGCTGTTATACGCTTTCCTAATTGTTTAATTTGTGAAATTGTTACTCGCTGTTTGATTTACGTGATTGCATGTTTTGGGGCACCACTGAGCTTTAGCTCACCCCATATTCATTTGTTTTCCTTGACAGGTCCTGGCTCTTGAGCAAGACTTGAAATCTAATTTCACTTTTATGCATGTAGTTTGAGTTAAACATTGTATCTTTTATTTTGGATTGCCTCTTGAAGCTGGAAAAGTGTAAACCCTGGAATTGTTATTTGGCTTGTACTAATGTGTTTGGATTGTATGTTTTTGTTGCCTGGTTTGTAACGCGTAAGGTATTTAAGAGTCGACGATTGGCTATCTTAAAAATGTTGTTATCTCTGAAGTTAATGTGATTTTAGTCATCAGCCTATTTGGAAGGAAACGGTGTTGTAATAGTTTAGGTTATTCTTCGGAAGGATTTGGATAGTTTGCTTGTGTGAGTCCTGGCGAGAGCTAGGCAGACAGCCCGCCAACCCTCTGGTTCGCCTTAGGGGGAAGTGGGGTCGCCACACTTTCAACTTTGGACTGGTCCATGGATACTCCATTTTCAGTTATGGTGTGGCCAAGATAATCCACAGTTTGTTGGGCAAATGAACATTTAGATTTCTTTGCAAACAGTTTGTGTTCTCTCAGGACAAACAACACTGTCTTCAAATGATGTAAATGTAACTCTAGTATGGGGCTATAAATCAAGATATCATCAAAGAAAACCAACACGAATTTCCTTAAGTATGGTTGAAATACCTGGTTCATAAGAGATTGAAATGTTGCTGGTGCATTGGTCAGCCCAAAAAGTATCACAAGGAATTCATAGTGGCCACAATGAGTCTAGAAAGCAGTTTTATAAGTATCCTTGGGCTTGACTCTGATTTGATGGTAGCCAGAAGTGAGATCCAGTTGGTTTTATACCTTGACCCTGCCAGTTCATTGATCAATTCATCCACATTTGGAATAGGATATCTGTCCTTAATAGTCATCTCATTTAAATGCGTATAGTCCACACAGAAATGCCATGCCCCTTCTTTGTTCTTAACTAGTAACACTAGTGAAGTAAATGGACTATTGCTATGGATGATTATTCCATACTGCAACATGTCTTTTACTTGCTTTTCTACTTCACCTTTCTAGGAGTGAGGATATCTATGCGTCTTCATTTTAAAGGGCTGAGACCCAGGTTTCAATGGAATTTCATGATCTATTTCTCTAGTAGGGGGCAACTTAGTAGGGGTCTCAAAGACATTGGCAAATTCCTCAATGATTTCTTGAACTTCAGTAGGCATAACATACTCCCCTGATGGATTATCCTGCCCTATTCTCATAGCTAAGCACATCTGTTTCTTATATTCAATAAAATTTCTCAGATCACCACCCCTAATAAGATCTAAAACACAGTTTTCTGTTTGTCCTTGTACCACTTCCCCTTGATTGTGCAAAGAGATAGTCAGCTGATGGAAGTCAAAAGTAATTGGGCTAAAATGAGTCATCCAGTCCACCCCTAATATTATATCCCAACTACTTAAATCCATCACCTTGAGGTCATAACAGAACTTGTATTGGTTAATTCCCCACACTACTTTTGGGCATATGGCTTTACTGGTTACACAAGCTCCATTCCCAACAATTATAGAGAAAGGATCAACTAGTCGATATGGAATGTCAAAGGCAATTACCTTTTCACTGCTAATATAACTATCTGAACTCCTAGTGTCAACCAAGATCAACGTCTCTTCACAATCTAGCTTCCCTATTAGCGTTATTGTTTTCCTCTTCATGGCCACAAACAATGCATGTAAAGACATCTCCATGACTTGTCCTGGATTCCCTATGGATTCATCTTGTTCCCCCAGGGCATCCTCAAATTCAGATTCCTCTTCTTCTTCATTGATCAGAAAATTTAAGTGACCAAATTTGCATTGATGACCCTATCCAAACTTTTCTCCACACTTGAAACAAGTCCATTATTCCTTCTATACTGTACCTCTTGAGCTGAGATCTTCTTGGGTTCAGAATCTGTAGAAGAAATTGGCTTGCCTTTGAATGAAGTGTTCTTCAATGTACAGGTAGAAGGCACTTTACAGTATGAGCTGTGGATTTGTTGTTGGGAAGAATTCCTAGAGATTCCAAATATGTTTTTAGGAATTGTTTTCCAGCCATCTTTAGAGGTTCTGGTTTGAAGCCTCAATGCATCTTCTTGCAACGTAGCCATTTCAAAGGTCTGAGACAAAGTTGTAGGTCTTAACATCCTTATCATGGTCTTGATTTCATCCTTGAGCCCACTGATGAAGCTAGATATAAAATACTCCTCATCTAGATGCGGATTCTTAATCATCATAAGGGTTTTGAGCTCTTCAAACCTCTCTTGGTACTCTTCCACATTTCTAGCTTGTTGCAGTTTGTTGAATTCTTCTACCACGTCCTTGCCATTTCTATTATCAAATATCTTATATAGCAGCTCTTCGAACATTCTCCAAGTTATCCCTGGTTTTTCCAGTTTAACTCCTTGAAACCATTTGTCCGCCCTCCCTTCCAAATACATTTCTATGACTTCCACTTTTTGCTCTTCGGGAATTTGGTAGTTTAAGTTGTATTCATTGCATTTTCTGATGCATTCTCCAGAATTCTCCCCAGTAAACAAGGGCAGATTGATTTTTGGAGGATTTGGTATCAGAAACTTACCTGCTTCCTTCCTTACTGTCATATTGTTTTATGACCCAATTTGCAGTCTTTGATTTAATGGAGGAATTGGTAAGAGTGGTGCTTGCTCACTTCTTTGCCTATCTTCTTCTGGAATAGCCTTTCCCTTGCCTATTATTACTCTCATGAAGGCACTTAACTCTTGCTTCATTTTAGCTACCAAACCTTCCATCCTTTTATTGCTTTCTTCTAGTTCGGTACGAAACTCATTCCATATTTGCTGTTGTTGCAGTTGTGAAGCTTGCAGACCTTCTACTACCTCTTGAAGCTTGATTTCTTGCTTCTTGATTTGTTCCTCCAGTGTCTTAAATCCGGTGTTTTCTGCCATAGAATCTGATTTCTTCCAAGGATTCAACCTGCTCTAATACCACTTGTCAGGATATTGATTGTAATTTTGGGATTTAATTGTTGAATTAGTTCAGATTGAAGATCCAGAATTGGGGAAAAGAAGGATATAGACAAGAGAAAGGGAGAGGAAATGAGAAAATGAGAGAGAGAGAGAGAGAGAGAGAGAGAGAGAAAATGCAATATGTTATTCCCTTAGCCCCCCTCTTAACCAATCACCCTTTTACAAATAGGATGGATTAACAGACTTAAACTAATCCAACTGATTCTATTATTCTCCTTGCCACGACGTCGTTCTACTTACTCTTTTATTCTACTGGTTTATTTGAGCACTTGTACAAAACGTCATCGTTATATATTGGTTTAATTGCTGGAATTCATTTCTTCATCCTGACAGCAGCAATTGACTGACTTGACCTACATCTTATAAGTCAGCCATTTTCTGATCCTTAGCCGTCCCACATATTAGTGGGTACTCGATAATCGGGTACCTGCTGAGAGAAGGACAAGTCAATGAGTACCTACCTTGCTCCACTTATCATTTAATTGTTTTAAAAAATAATTTATACTAATTTAATTTTGTATTTTACATATTCATCTAAGACTTAATAAAGTTTTTTTTTTCTAAAAATAAAGTCTCCTACCAAGAAACAAACATGTGAAGAGAATGCAAGAAAAAGGAAAAAATTATAAGAATTCAAAATTAATGAAAATTTGAAATAAGTAGTACCTTTTTAAATATATATTCCACATCAATTAAACTCTTTTTCAAATAATACAAGATCATGACCTCTACAAATGAATCTTGTAAACAAACTATAGTCTTCCATAATTGTAATGTAATTTGTTCAATGACAAATATTATTTTTAATATGTGTATAAAAATAAAAAATAAGAAAAATATATATGTGTGGCGGGTAAGATATCTATGAGCTCTGAATCATGTGACCCTAACCCACCCCACATATAAAGGAATACTCTACTTTCTTTTGACCCGATCAAATAATACGGATTGGGTACTCTATTTTTCGGATAGGATCATACCGAATATTGCGGGTTTTTAGGTTAGTGGGCATTTTTGTCCATCCCTAATATGTATGTATATATATATATATACATATAGTATGGGTTAATCACACTCATATATACATACATAATTGCATATACACATACATATATATATATACATAGACCTATACCTATATAAACACCCACATACACATAATTATAGATGCATGTAGGTTTATATTTATATATGGATAGTGTGAACAATAATAAAAGCAAGTTAATATGGGTTAATCACACTCCATCTCCCTATACATTGGAGATAGTCACTTTAAAACTCTCGACCTTAAAAATATATACTTTATGCACATAAGATTAGTCAAAGTTAAAATTGCATAAAAAGTGAGTGCAATAACATTGTTGGCCCTTCTATTTATGAAATTATTAATAACTTACTATCATATATGTTTTATTGCTAAAAAATATATATGTTTATGGTATCTATTGTACAAAAATATGAAATTTATAAAAGTTGAAGTTTTCATTTAGTTTATTATTCTTATTTTTTTTGTTGATTGAACATTTACTTATATATGTAGTTTTGTTGAATTTATTGGACTTTAAATCAAATAATAAGGACAAAAAACATAATAACAACAATAAATTGAGTTAGCAAAATTTTGGAAATATTAGGTAATATCTATTTGTATTCTAGTTTTTTATTATTTTTGTTTATGTAAATTGTTAAAATAGTATTATTATTTTTTAGTCAAAGTAGTTAAATATTAAATATTTAATCAAAATTTTTAAAAAGTGTTAATACACTGCCTTATTTTTAATCTTAAAGGACGGAGATTAAATCGGACTTCAATTTTTTTCAACACAAAATGGGCAATAATTGTAAACTAAATATAATTTCAGCAAGCAAAGAGCAATGCAGTGTAAAATGTCACTCTATACATGAAGTTTTGAATTTTTAAAATTGACTAGTCTTAATCGTTTATAGAGTGTATATTTTTTAAGTATTAACCCTAAATATGGCAGTCACGTATTTGGTACCTAGTGTACAAATATTAAAAGACATGTCCGGTGGAGTCCCCTCGAAGTGTTCTAGAACAAAAGTAAAACAGAACTGAAATTCAAGCTTTCACGCTTACTAGTTACTGCTACATCTTTAACAAGCCAAGCGTTACATAGCGTCTCTCTTCGTTTTGTTTATAGTAAGAAATAGAAATGAGCTAGCTCTTTGGATTAAACATTTTAAACACTTTTTTTTTTTTTTTTTTTCTTATGTCTCATCCCACCAGCACCACCAACCCCAACCCTCATAAGCGTTCATCTCCGTTTAACACCACCTCGTCCTCTGCTTCCATCCCCGCCAGCGGCGGAGCAGCAGCACCACCACCTTCACAACCTCTTGTTCCGGCGATGAAAAAGGCCAAGTCTCAGGCCGTAGCTTACTCTCTGGATAACAACAAGAACGGCCAGCCTCCGCACGTCCACTTCTCCCCTGATATCGACGTTAATAACGCCTCAATGCTCGATGTAGAAGAAGAAGATCCTGGTAGCCTCTCAAGCGACGTCGTTATGGACCCCAATCTAAGCAGTTTTAACAGTAATGCTATGTCCCGGGGGGCCTCCTCTGGCACTGCTAATCTGTCTCGGAAGAAGGCTACCCCTCCTCAGCCCCAAAAGAAGCTCGTCATTAAGCTTCTCAAAGGTTATACTCATTCGATTAATTTTTTCCCTTTTTTTTAATTTTGCTTTGATCTATTTCAGTTACAACTTTTTGAAATTTTGACATTTGATTGGATTACTGGATTCTGCTTTAGGTGTGTAATGTGAAATTTGGTTACTAGGGTTTTGGGGGATTAATTTTTTTTATTTATTTATTTTTTGTTGGAAGTGATTGTCGATTGAGTGAGTTTTGGTGGAATTGTGATCGGAGTATTAATTGTCTAGGAACTTGGGACTTCTATAGCAGAGTTCGTAGAAACTTGGGGTAACTTAAGTTACATGTGGTGTTTGAGCTGAAATTGAGAGGTGAATTGACTTTTGTTCAGGTTTAATAAATTTGGGCTGTGTTTGATTTGGGCAATCTGCAATGGATTAGTTTGTAAGCAATTTTCTGAAAGTGGTTGTATTTGTCCAACTATGGAGTTGACGAGTGCTAGGCACCATGCCTAGAAAGATACTTGGAGCGGAAATGGGGAATCTAGTACTTGATTTTGTCTAAAGTTTTCTTTTTCATTCTGCTTGCAATTTTGAATTATAGCCATGGTTCAAGCTACCTGTAAATCTCTGTGCACTAGAAGTACTTGTGTACTATATGCCAGACCAATTAGACTCATCAAACGACTTTGTTTGCTGAGAATTAAGGGGAATACACTAATCTTACTTGATGGATATCAATAATTGCGGTAAACTCCTGCTGTTTGCTTTTCTTAATCCTTTGATGCTATTTGTAGCTTTTATAGAGCACTGGTGCTTGTTTATTCTTCAGTGGGGTAGAATCTTCTATCTTTAGTGATAGGCCTTGGTTCTGTTTCCGATTGCCGGGGATTAAGTTCATCAGATCACCTTATGCTATTGTTTATTTTATTGTAAATGCATCTCTTGTTAAGTAAAGGTCATTACCGGAACTAATGCATATTTGATTAAAATTAGATTTGCAACTGGACATTACGTGAATTAAAATATTGAGAACTATGATGTCATTAATTTGATGTAGTCCTTTGATTATGAGTACGAGAACTTCTGAATTAGTGGGAGACTAATAGAACTTCTAAACTAATCACGCAAAATGATCCAAAAATGGGTTTGACATTCTGGAAATGCATCAGTTGTCTGAAATGTTGAAACATAGCAAATGTAACTGATTTAGGTTATTGGCACTAGAGAGGTTCATGGTTTTTGCAGAATAAAGTGGGTAAAAGCTCAAGTTACTGGATTTTGCTGCAGATTTTATGCAGTAATCCTCTGTCCTATAAAATAAAGGAGCTTACCCAAAGAAAAAAAAACCTCTGTCCTGACAGCTGTTGGTTCCCATACTTTTTGAGGGTCATGGAAGAAGCGTACCTGCAATTCCTTTAAAAACAAAGAAATACTCAGTTTTAAATATTCTTTTAAAAAGTAGTTTTTTTTTTAATTTATATGTGTGGGATTACTTTAGAGTCCAGGGAAATATCTCGCTGCTGAAGTGATTTTACAACAACGGGTGTAAATGATCTGCTTGAACATACTTTTTGAGGGTCATGGAAGAAGCGTACCTGCAATTCCTTTAAAAACAAAGAAATACTCAGTTTTAAATATTCTTTTAAAAAGTAGTTTTTTTTTAAATTTATTTGTGTGGGATTACTTTAGAGTCCAGGGAAATATCTCGCTGCTGATGTGATTTTACAACAATGGGTGTAAATGATCTGCTTGAACATATCAGTCAAAGTTATTTTCTGTTTTCACGCAAAACTAAACCGCATCCTTCCGATGCTTTCCACTTTCTATAGAAAATGTAATTTGATAAAATTTTAGACGAAATACACCTTAGGATTGCGGGGCAGCAGTATTGGCTGTCTATGGATTTTTGAAGATGACAAATATAAAGAACTGATACTTCTGATTCCAGTGTATCACATGCAGATCAGCATCCACTCAATA